ACGTTGTGTGTAAATATTTTCGTTTATGATAAAGTGTATCAAGCAAAAAGTCAATAAAATTGCGTTACAATTTCGTGTCATTGTTGCTAAGTAATTTTTCTCCAGTTTGGAAAAAAAAAGAGGAGGAGGAGATTAAAAAAAAGAAAGAGGGAATAGTGGGACGAGGGAACGAAAAAATGAACCTATTTGAAGAATCACTCGAACGGTGGAACGATGAAAATCTCGATTCTCGAGTGGGGTAAATCGATCGCGCGCGTCTCTGCGAAACGTCGAATTCCTAATGGGGTATGAATTCTACCCCGCTCCGTTTCTTATCATCGGGGGAGGAAAAAAAGTCAAGTTTCCTGAATATTTGGCGGAATTCCGAGTGAAAGAGACAAAAGAAGAGAACTGCTCGTGAAAGAAGAAAAGAAAGAAAGAAAGAAAGAGAGAGAGAAGTCTGTTGCATCTCTAACCGAGCGTGAACTGGAAAATATTTACAGACTGGAAAATAAAATATCTGGAAGGGAAGAAAAAAAAACTTTATTCGACCATTATATCCTCGACGATTGCGCAATCGTGCAACTTAAAAGTTGAAAAAAATGGTTAAAATTTTATTATGAAATATTGTAAAAGTGAAAAGTAAATCGTAAAAAATCATTTAGAATTTAATTTACTCGTTTTATTATTTATAAGATGTTTTAAGATTTCGAGTTAATTAAATCTTTTAAGCCTCGTTGAAATAATTCGTGCATTAATTATGGGAAAATGGGAGTTAGCTTTCGAATTCTATTATTTACCATCGAAACTCAGTCTTGACTCGAATAGTTCAAGCGGATCCGCTTATGACTATGCCAATAACGATGAACGTGCAGTAATTACTAATTTAATTAAAAGGATCGTTAATTACACGAACTTTAAGTCCCTTTTCAGCACCTCTCTTCAGGGACATTATTTACAGAAAAAATCAAATCAATCTGAACTTTTTATCACGTGTAAATAAATATAAATCATTTTTAATCGTGCTTCTATGTAGAATTAATTTGTCGATTAAAAAGTAAAAAAGTTAATGAAAATATTATAAGAAACGATTGCATCGTAAGTTTTAATTTTAAATTTTAAAACAGATTCGCTCAAAAATCTCCACTTCAAATTCCAATCTTGCATCCGTAAGAAAATTAAAAATTTCTACGCCCATCTATCTACGCGAAATTGCGATGCACTCGACAAACTTGAAGCGAATGTCGTAAGAAACTAAATAAAGATCGAAGGAAACATAAAGCAAAGTAAACGTACAAACATTTGTAACATTTAAAGACCGAATGCCTAAATGATATACATGAAAATGAACACGTGAAATAATATAAAATATAGATAAAAATAAAAATATAAATAATAATGTAAAAAAATCTGAATAATTTAAAAAAATAATAATTTTTCATGTAAATTCATTAAACATAAAAATATCGTGGAATATTTGACCAAAATTTTTAAATAAAATATTTATATAATCGGATAGCACGATGCAAAAAATAAAATAAATTTATCGCAAAGACCATACGAGAATGAAATTCTAATCGATCTATACACAAAATGGAAAACTAATTTCGAAGGGATTTTATTTAATCCATCTTATGTAACATGAAATATTTGCAATACACGGGATTATCCATTGAAATCTTGATAAAAATGTACACAAACTCGTGTTTGAAGCAAAACAGGACACAAGAAAATTATCCGGTATACGTGACATTTTATGATGTTTTTCAAATTAAATCTCTATCGATAAAATTATTCCCATCGTTAATTCCGTAATAATAAATGTAATGAAATACCAATTTTTCTAGATAATGATAAAACGACCACGTTCGACATTGTCAAAATTATAAAAATCGGAATGAAAAGACACACGGTGTAAGAATACGTTCATTCCCGTCGGTTCTCCTCACCATTACCATAGCCAGGTTTTACCCTCAACCCTTTTCAACCACGGTTCAACCTCTTCCTTTTACCTTGAAGAGTGATAGCTTTCGAAACGTTACATTATACACTAGGAACTCCTTTCGCTTGTACATCAGTTCATCTTTGTCTCCTTTAGCTGTCGGATAAAGAGAGAACGATGATCTCGGGGAAGGGGAAGGAAGTCGAAGAAGGAAAAGAAAAGAGGGGAAAGAAAAAAACGACGGGGGCAAAGAGAAGTTTCAGGATGAAAGGGTAAGGGAAAAAAGATCAAAAAAAGGAAGGAGGAGGATGGCAAAAAGGAGAAAAGCAGAAAAAACACGACCAGGGAACCGGCAGTATACCTAATATATTATCTATATGCGACGAGCTTTATGAGCTTCAACCCTCTTACGTCCAAGCTTTCCCAGACGTGTTTCGTCGTCTCCTTAAAAGTAAACTATAATCTAACCACTCGTGCTCGCAGTATTAGAATCTTCCTTTCCTGCTAGAAATCGTGCTCTGGATTTCTTACGCGAGGATTTTAATATTCGAAATAATTCTCCAAACTCGTCACATCTATATAAATTTCACGTTAAAAGGAATCGTAACTTACGTTTAAACTTTAATAATTTATCTTAATTTGTTACAAAATTCCTAAATTAAATCTGACTCTGGAATGTGGCGTGTCTTAGAAGTAAAAGAACGATGTGCCATTTCGTTTGTTTGAAGACGCTTTGAAGAATAAAGTTGAATAAAAGATGAAAAGTGCACATCGAAGAATAGAGAGACACTACTAAGTATAACCTTACCAAATTATATATAACTTTCTGCATAAAGTGAATAAAGGAAGTAGTAATCCTTGGAAACTACTATACTATACTATACAGTGGAATAACTCTCCCTTTGTAATAAAAGCGAGGATAGTTTCTTAGATCCTTTGGTGTTGGAAACCGTAAAATCCGTAAATCGACAAACAAAAAAAGTTACGACTTCCTTTCATAAATCAGCTAAAATATACGTTTATGATAACTCGTTCAAAAAAAAAAAATACATTTCATATTTCACTTCACAGTCACCATCGCGCGAGATTTATACGATACGTTTAAAAATTTCGAAAAATTTTTTTCAATCCTATATACTTCTGATTGCAAGTATGTTTGATGATAAGCACACCTGGTCAAATTCAATTATACGATTCCCGAGGGCAAGTAATCCAATTTGCACGTCATCAAGTCACACGGTGAAACTAGTTCGAAGAGCGAGGCATACAACCGACCACATGTATCAAATATTGAAGTTCCTAGATTGGCCCCAACTGCCCTTAGGGATACCAAATATCTGACAGATTCTGAAAACTCTTGTCAAATTGCGGTTTGTAATTAACAATAATCTGCATCCGAACAGACAATAAGATTCGAAATCAACACAAGCACGAAACGATATTGAATTTTTCAAAGAAATTTACCCTTTTATTCTCTTTCTTGCGCGTATATTCCTTGTCTATCTTCATTTAACGTTAACTTTGGGAATACGTAATAGAATATAAATCAGGTTTCTAAAGATTTCGAACGGTAAACTCCCTCACTGAACTCGTACTTCACTATTACAGCAGATGATACGATATTTGCGAGACTTTGCTCGATATGTATACATAGTTGCACGATTCCATCTAGCAGAAATAACCAATCAAAAGCGTTCCTTTCAGAGAACTTCTTACAGTATATATATATATGTATTTTCACATATCTGTATAAGTAACTTCACTCCCAGACGAAAAGCCAGACATCTGGCATATGTCCCGTACAATTCTAGGACATCTTAAGAATTTGAAGATCATTTTCATTGAGAAATATCATCATCAGTCGAGATTTTCAAACACTATTTGAATATTTGAATATTTTCATCCGAGTAACTCTTATCGTTGGTTTGATGATTATCAAAGCAGATACATCATATATCTGTACAGTGTACATTCCATTATAAAGTTTGTTAACGATAAATGTGTATTTTCACGTTTCTAAGACGCGAATGCTATTTTAACTATTTATATAAAAGAGCTCGGACGACGAGCAAATTTTTGTTTGCGCAAATAATTACGCCATATATTTCTTGATTAACATATTAATTGATCAACAATGTTATCGTTATTGTTTTTTCATAGTTATTTACAAGTTATGACAACAGGGGATCGAGCAAGTAACAATTTCCGAATAAATGTTATTAATGTTGATTTCACGATTAATCTTATCGAATCTAAATTTTTCGTCCAGTTCGTTATTTATATGCAAATGAAATTTCAAAGTTAATTCAAAATCATAGGATAAGGACCACGTTGCGCGCAAGGATAATAGGCGGGCATTAAAATTTAACATAGAATCAACACAACACGATTGGTAGAAAAGTAATCATTCGTAACATTCGAAATTCATTTCATAAAAACCGCTATCTTGGAAACGCGATTCAAACTCGTGAAAAAAACAGCAACTTCGATCGGATAAATAAATTAAAACTATTTATTACATTCGATG